AATTTCGGCCACACCTGTGTGCATCTTGCCGCGTTTCCATCCAGAAGTAAGTAAAAAAGTCCTCGTGTGAGTATGCCCTCAGTTTGGGTCTCGCTCCACACTAGTCTCCACATGCAAGAAAGACAAAAAAAATTGGCAATGTATCTTTCCATGTTCTGACTGAGGTTTCAGTCTCATTTTGCACAAAGAGGGGCCTGCGCTCTAGAAGATGGAAAGATACGTTGCCATCGTTTTTAATTTGGACCCTCTCTCGATTGACGCGTGTCATCCTTGCGCAGGGGCCATGCTGATATTCTCTGTATCGTTTTTTATCTTTTGTGCATGTGGAGAGTAGTGAAAAGAGGCCCATTCTTCGCGACAAAGGTTATAAAACCTGCCCGCCAAGAAACCTTTGTCTTTTTTTCTTCTTTTTTTTTTGCCCGAAAAACACAGTGTGTTATGAAATAAAGTGATAGAAAGTATATTAAAAAAAAAGTTCCACTCGAGGGGGTCCTTTGTATTCATTCGTTTGTTATTATTTCGAGTAATGAAAGCCTCTTGCACTGATTGGGGCCCCTTTGAAGAAAAAGAAATAAAAAAAGAAAGAAACAAAGACAGAAAACATGATTGGGTGAGGAATTGACGGGTGCAGCAACTTATGTTTCTGCAGCAAATCATGTCTTTTGTTCCCCTCGGAATTACCAACGTTGATTTCAGAAACTAGGGACCTTTCTCCACTGCTCAGCATTCTACTTGTACCTGGACTGTAATGTTGGCCAAATACCTTCTGACAGAGCAAACGTCAGTCAGTGTATCGGGACAACGTCCCCGGCAGCTCCAGATACATTACGAATGTGGCCCGGAGGAGAGAGGCCCTGGGCCCATGTCCCACTACTCAAAGGTGACATGAACGTACTTACCGTTTTTTTTTTTTGTTTTTTCTTTTTTTTTCTGGTAGGTTCTGTTCCCAGGACATCTTCTTTTCGACGGAATTTGGCCCCATCTTTGAAATTTCACGAAACTTCTGTGGCGCCGTTCCACATACCGCACAGATGCGGTGCTCCAACCTTTTTTCTCCATTGATAGAGGGAATGGAGGATCCATGGCCCGAAAAGAAGCACGCGCTCCCTTCCTCGAGGGATGGGATTCTGGGATCATTCTCCCATTCGACCAGGTCCTCTACCAGCCTCAGGCGGCCAGCATTTTTCTGCTTTTTCACCAGGGCCCACTTCGGGGTTCTCGTTCCGGCAGCTTTGTCCGGGGGACTCGAGGTTGCAGCTGGGCTGCTTTCACTACTACAGTGAAGTTCCTCTCTTCTTGTATGCTTTGATTTGGCGTGGCCGGGAGATTGAACCTGGACTTGGTCGCTACGTCAGTCTTGCTTGTTATCATCATCACTTTTCGACTGCATCAACGGATCGCTTTGACCTTTGAGGCTGGAGGACGTGGAGTTTACGAAGGCTAGTTTGCCGCTTAACTCAGATAGGTAATTATGGCGTACCCGGGCTACCCCCAGATGTACCCACCTCCAACGCCAATGCAGTATCCGATGGTGGTTCAATCACAACGGCAACCCAGTACAAACGTCGTGGGAGGTAGACGATGTTACATGTGTAGCAGCCCGAATCACCTTATTCGGGACTGCCCTATGAAGGGTAATGGGGGACGGAACTACGACGATGGGAGGCAGAGGGATACAGAAGAGAGTCGAGATTATGGACGGAGAAGAGGACGGGACTATGAGTATGAAGGAAGAAGAAGGTACGACAAACGTGGTGGTAGAGAGGAAGGAGGGAGGACGACTAGGAGACACGAGGATGCCAATGAATGGGACAGACGAGGGAGATCCTTTTCACCTGGAAGGTATGATCGAGAAGACAGGAGGCGCAGTTTGTTGGCAGAATCGAAGCAGGAGGATGACTCCCTAGTATGGATTAAGGAATATTTGGGGAAGGGAAGCACGGAGAAAACAGGAGAAGGAGGATAGGAGACTGGCTGACGAGCAAAGGCGTGTGGAAGCACAGGAGCAGGCGAGACGGGAGGAACACCGTAGGTTGAGGGAGGAAGAGAAGAAGAGGCAACAGCGGGAGAGGGATAAGGGTTTAGTGAAGCTCTTGGAGGTAAAGCTCGTGGCGAACAACAGTACTCTCAGGGAGGAATTCGGCTTAAAGCTGACACGAAAAGATAGAAGGCCTAAGAAGGAAACTAAGTCGGCAGAAAAGAGAAGACTTAGGGAGGAGATCGCGAGGGCACAGGGAGCTGCTAGTGAACCGGAAGAAGCGGGTGAGTCGGACGAGGAGCTTAACGATTTGAGGGCGCAGGCTGCCCAGCTCAAGATAGCGGAGAAGAGGAAGCGGGGAAAGGAAAAAGTGGTGGGAGATAGTCCACCCATGACAACGCCGGCTAAAGGGGCGCGATGCTACATACATCCTGTTGAAAAGCAAACGGGAGGTATAACCATCGGAAGGGAAAAGGGTAGGACGGTGACGTTAAAGTCAGTCTATGACGCTACGACATCAGCGGAAAAAACACGAAAGAACTGGGTGGAAGCTAAGGAGGAGGGAGAGGCCGGACCGGTGCAGAGAGCGACTTTTTGGAGTGAGAAGAAGAGACATTACATGACAATGACTCTTCACGAACTGAAGAAGGTGTGTAAAGATGAGGGTATCAAGGTCGCGCCAACAACGACGAAGGAGAAAGCATCGTCCGATCTGGCGGATAGGCGTACTAAACTGAAGTCTGCCGCGGGAATACCGCTGCCGAAATCACCGATTCGGCAACCAGATCTGGGAGACACATCGGAAAACTCGTCGGGGGAGAGAGTACCGATGAGCTTTGGACATGGTTCAGGGAATTGAGGGAACACAGGGAACACCGATATAGGTGTGGTAAGTTATGCGAGTATGGGAGTCGGCGTGTCTTGATGCTGTTGATTTTTAGGGGGGAAGTGGAATGGGGGAAGAAATTTGTTAAGACTTGGGAGGAGCAATTTGCACACGGGCGCTTAGATTTAGAAGAACCTAGATCGTGCGTTTACGTACTGCTGTCGCCATACTGTCGAGCGTTCTACATCGGTAAGACTGAAAGAATTGTGAGGGAAAGGTGGACCGAACATATCGGTATTGTCGAAAGCAACGTAGGCGGGAAGAACAATCGACCGTATCGCTGGCTAGCTAGAAGGGGCTGGACCAGCTATGTATGTCTGCCTTTAATTGGAGATCAGGCCGAAAATTTGCTTGCAAGGGAAGAACTGTGCATTAAGCATTGGTCGCCTAGTCTGAATACACGAAGACGAGGTAAACAGCATGACGGTAGGAAGAAACAGGGTCGTAGGGAGAGGAGGCGGGAAACTATCAAGCAGGGAAGGATTCTGATTGACGATCGGGCAAGGCTAAAACCGGTGAGGATACGGATCGAAGGAGCCATATGGAATGCGAACGTGGCTAGTGCTCTTGAAGAATGCTAGGGCCGTGAAAATGTGGCATGTCAGAGCAGTGGGGGTGATGCATGGATAGAGGGATGGAAGATCGTTAAAAGGAGGTTCGGGCTGATAGTGATCCGATGGAATGGAGAGAACAGGATGCTGAAATTTTGTCGGGCGCTATTTGAGGAAGGAGGAAGCTTTACTACCGTAAGGATTTGTGAAGCGAAGCAGGGAATGGTGCAGAAGAAGGTTTTCTTGGTAGACATGCTAAAGAACAGGCGGAAGCGGGTGCAGTTATATCGGATGGATCTTGAGGGACTGGTGGGGTTATACACGGCAGCAAGGGGGTTTACCAGGAAAGAAAGCAAACGGTCATTCAGAATGATGATATCAGGGGTGGTTAGTAGGAGGTTCCAGATCAACATCAGGAAAAGGTTGATTTGTAGGATTAAGAACTATCAGCGGGTGCGTATAGGCGAAGTAAGAAGATTGGCTAGAAAGAAGGTGGGGGAGGTGGATTTGCCTACGGCAGTTCGGAGGATGTTGCAAACTAGGCTACGTGTAGTGTGGACTAAAAATCCGACTATCGGGGACCTACTGCACAATCACCGTGCTCATGCTAAAGAGCCGGTGGACACCTGCAAATGTGCAGGTCTACGTGCCACAAGAATTGATGGTCACGTATCTTTCCGAATCGAAGAAGCCCAGACAGCACCGACCATCTCTTTCAATGCAAGGAATGTGCCAAGGCGGCGAATCGAACACAGGAGGAGGAGTTTGGGAGTCGAGATTAGGCTGGCTTTTGAACAATGGGGGGGGGGTGACATGGCACAACTGCGAATTAGCAAGGAGGAGGTAGCGGCATGCACGAGTGTAGAGATGGTGGGAGATTGTAAGGAGATTGAGAATTTTCTGAGTTTCAGGGATGAGATGGATGATCTGGTGAGAATGCCACTGGATCGCAATATAGGAGATACCCTGATCCAATGCCCAGCGCTGTATCATGAGGCGATGATGAATACCTTCATCAAGGCGGAAGGGTACAGGGTTCTTTTGGAAGAGGAGGAAGAGATTATGGTAAAGTGGAAGAATGAGTATGTTGAGGCGGGCCTGGAAAGTCTGGGCAAATGGGACGATAAAGGAACTTTGGGAAACGCTTATGTACTCCCAAAACACAAGGACGTTACGAAGAGCAGGCCAATCTGCCCGACGTTCAGTGAACCCACGAACACTGTCTGCAGGAAGATGGCGAAGGGTTTGAACAGAATGATGAAGCTGGTTCCAGAAACAAGCCACTTCAACATGGGATCGGTGTTGGAACTGAGTAGGAGGTTGAAGGTGATCAACAGCAAAGTGGGAAGGAGAGGTTTGGAATGGGGTATGGAGGGTGCATCCTTTGACATCAAGGATATGTTTAGCCGCTTACCCCATGCGGCTATCCTTGATGCTCTGGATTGGCTATGTGAATGGTGCGAGGGAAGGGGCTTCAAGAGTGTGCAGGTGAGGAGGCAAGGGAAGGGTACGAAAATGAGCTACAAAAAGCATGAAGACGGGTGGTGGGCTGTGGACTTCGCCAGTGTGCGGAAGTTTGTAGCCTTCAAGTTGGAACACACCTATACAAGGGCTACGGGGGTGCCACTGAAGCAGGTTATAGGTATACCAATGGGGAAGAGTTCAAGCCCCCCATTGGCATGCATCCTATGTATGAAGGCCGAGTATGAATTTCTGGTGACTTTGGCCAACAGAAGAAACATAGTCTTCGGGATGCGCCTGATGGATGATGTATCATTGTTTGTTGCAAAGAGAAAGAAAGGAGATGAGTACGGGAAGGAGGTGATCGAGAGGTTTGGTGGATGCTACAACGAGGAGCTAACGTTAAAAAGAACAGATGACGAGGAAGGGGTTTGGGAGTTTCTTGGTTGCAGATTGACTATCGAGAGTGAGCAACCTTACCTTGGGTGCTTTCAAAGGAAAAAGAACATGGCCCAGATTTGGCAGAACTTACCTCCGGTTTTTAAGACAATCCAGGACTACAGCTCATGGACCAGCAAGCGGCAAAAAAACGTCGTCATCATGGGCGAACTGAACCGGATTTATTGCAACACTACAAGGCAGGAGGAACTCCTGCCACTTGTGCTTAAACTGAAGAGAGAACTGCGCGGGAAAGGATACCCACCCGAGTTTTTCAACAACGCGCTCAGGCGTTTCACGACCAACAAAAACGAAATCTGGAAGCTGATGGTGGAACTGACTGCAACATGGTAGATTTAGGAAGTTCTCCGAAATCGCTGAATTGGAGATTTGGACGGGTAACGCAGAGATGTGAGGCCGGATTGTTGAGAAAGTAGGAGTTCGAAGGTATTAAGTAGGCATGATGTCGAGGCTAGCGGAGCGGTTATGGGAATTTGGTGGAGCAGGGACCAGGGAGGAACAGTGGCAGATGTTGAACTTAGGTCAGGAAGTAGGTTGGCTACAGAGATTCTTAGGTTTGTACGGATTTGGTACGATGAATCGGGCGCCTGGAAGGACCATGAACGTCCTGGTTGGGCCGCATCCTAACTAAGGAAGAGTTACAATTTGAGGTCGGCGGCTGTTTGGCGGCTAATGATGTAAAAATAGCGCGATAGGGGTTCAACGATATTCGGACAGCGCCCTGACAAAAGTGTTTGGACAGGTAGGCCTAGTGTAGAATAGGGAGTGGAAGATATAAACAGATGTAGCCGTACTTTTTCGTCCTCCAAAGCCGCTGACACGCACCTGGGTTGCGTTATCGAAGCGGTGGCGGTACGCAGGTGGGTCTTGGGAATGTCGGCAAGAGAGGTTTGAGGGAAGGAAGAATGGTGGTTTTGGGAAAGGAGTCGTGAGGCGGGGTGAGGGTTCCCCCTGAAGAGGCTATGGCAGGAGCCGAAACGCGTCGGGGCGCCATAGCCGTAGTTGGGATTTCGTTTCCACTATCCGTGAGGATTGGTGAGCGCGATCGCAGGGACGGCATGAGGAATTTTGTCGGGTTTCGCTACTGTTCTGTTGTTCTCTTCGCTTTTCTTTCTTTCGTTACTTTACTTCTCATCACGAGGATTTGGCTTTCGCTATTGTACGAGGAACGTGTTACCTGTGCTTTCTTTTGGATGTCTCTTGTTGCGTCGCGTGGGTGTGGTCTTATGAATGATGTCTGTTATGGATGCTCTATGATTTATGCATTTCGAGTAATGTTTCGTGCGTGAGAGGAATGTAATGAGAGCGAACATTTTGAATGGAAGAAGGGTTAGACTGAAGTTAGTATAGCCAATGGGACGTCGTGGGGAGGATGTGCGGAATTTTCTGAGAATTGGACGGGGGAGAAGATGTGAGATGTGGCATGAATGAGTAAACAGACGGACCTAGGAGATAGACGACAAAGAACTGATATCCTTAGACTCGAGGTTGCAGCTGGGCTGCTTTCACTACTACAGTGAAGTTCCTCTCTTCTTGTATGCGGGGGCTAGGTCCCACTTAAACGAATTAAGCGATATTGACCGTAGATACAAAAGATCAACGGCCAGATTCTCGTGATCCGTGCAAGTGGGACCTTGCCCAGGGCGTAGGATTTGGCTCAAGGTCCTTTCTTCGTGCGGATTTTGTAGCCAGGTGCCCTGAGTGTGTTGTGTGTCTGATCTGAGCGTATGCTCCCAGTGGGGTGGGAGGGCTGCTTTGAGGCAGAGGATATTCTACCGGGTGTTTCTTAGCTGACGTAGCTTGGAGTCCTCTGAGCTTATGGGACTTCGCTCAGCAGAGCTCCAGCCCAGGGTACAGACACGCTCCCACATGGAAGCTCTTTCATGCCAAATGCCGTCGTCAGTACGTGTTTCGTGTCCGACAGCTCAGCAGAGCTCGAGCCCAGGTTACAGACATGCTGCCACGTGGCAGCTCTTAGAAGTTAGAGGCCAAATGCCTCGCTGCTGCTGCGCACTGCAGTAGTCACCAGAAGTCGGTACCAGGGTCGACAGCTGGCAGTTCTTCGAGGGCCACCTTTGGTATACAAGTTGGTACTTGGGTGGGGGGAACAGCGTACGTAAGCTGGTCCCTAGGCATGCACAGCATTACTTCTTTAAGTTTTTATCTGCTACCTGAGCAGTGAGGGGACAAGGATAAAAGCGGAGGGAGGGGTGCAGGTGGGCATCATTTTGGAGAGGTAGATCCATTGACTGCGAATTTGAAGAGACCCGGTTCGACGGAACAACCACACCACGGAATTGCATCTGGTACGTAAGACCTGCTTTTCACAATCGTACCACACACAACTGGTGCCTGTTGAAGTGAGTCCGACAGACTTTCTCGTCTTAGCCCCGCAATTGCACTCTCTCTTCTTCTTTTCTCCTTCCTCGTTTTCCTGTCGTCATTGCTTCTTTTCTTTTATCTCCATACTCTCTCTCTCTCTCTCTCTCTCTCTCTCTCTCTCTCTCTCTCTCTCTCTCTGTGTGTGTGTGTGTGTGTGTGTGTGTGTGTGTGTGTGTGTGTGTGTGTGTGTGTGGCTCGCTCGATCGCTCGTCAACTCTTTAACTATAATTCTGTGCCTGTGCATTTGTCTCTGTGCTTGTGTGCACAGCAGCAGGGAGGGCAGCGAGGAACTGGGTGAAGAAATTAGGCGCGGCAGCAAAGTAAAAGGCAGGCAGCTTTTCGTTTCGAATATACCTATCTGCCACAATGAAGAGCGGCATGGCTTTCCTCCCCCTTTGGGCCAACCCTTGCGGTTGTGGCGGCGATGATGCTGATCGGATCCTTCAATGGACAAGTCGAGGGCTGCCATCCCCCGTCCTGGGTGAGGCCTCCATACATGTGCTGGAAAAACCACGATCACAACGAGGAGACGCTCCTGAGGATCGACTGCACGGAAAGGTACAACGGGATAGACGCTTCCAAGTTTGAAGGGTGCCAGCGGATCTGCACTCCTCATCCTCAATGCGTCAGCCTGACGTGGATTCCCAAGAATAGTCCCTACAAAGATGGCAAGTACTGCTGTTTCCTCAGGAAGAAGGTGAACTGCTCCAAGCTCAAGCGGCAGTCCGGTCGCGACACGTGCAAGTGGATCGGCTACAATGGGGATTCTGCCGATTCACGGAAGAACTAAGTGTAAACTCACCGAATGTGATTGGTTGGATCCCTAAGCAGCGCGAGAGAGAGCTACAGATGGATAATGACGAAATGCACGAAGGGAACTGACGACAGTGTCACACCAATGCACGTACCAGTCTCTCTGCTACTTCTCAATGGAGGAAAGAAGGGGATAATTGGTAGAAAGAGCCCACGCCAAAACCTTTTCGGTTTTGGCTGCCCAAAGTTCGGCCGTTTAGGTGAAAGGCGCCTTCGCGCCGTGGCCAAATCTCCCTGGGCCTGTTTTTACCGGTTCACAAATTTGGCGCTGTTTCTGCGCCAGATTCATGAACCGGTAGGGCCCTTCTTTTTCCAAATCGCGTACGTGGGCCTCATTCGATACTTCAGCGTTACCACCCCCGGCCTCTCTTACATCAAAATGAATATGGCTCTGTTATGCGCCCGATTCATGATCCGGGAGAACCCTTGGAGCGACGCGTGGGCCTGTAGTACCCCAGATGCAAGTCATTGGGCTGGTAGTACCAAAACGCTAAAATTTGGGCGGCCAAAACCGAAAAGGTTTTGGCGTGGGCGCCTTCTACCGATTATCCCGGAAAGAAGTGTTAAGAATAGGGGTACCTAATGGCAGTGTGACAGTGTGTCGAATCGAAGAGGGGCAGGTAGAAGGGTGGAAACAATGGCTGAGTTGCCTGCTGGTACTTGGCACTGGCACAGCATCATATATTCTTTGTCTGGACCGTAGCACAGAATGACGGAGTAAAATCCGCAGACAGAGATTTTTTACTGGAGCACATATGAAGTGCCGTGGATTATACGGATCCACTGACAGATCTCCAAGAGATCGGACACACATCTACGATGTACGTAAAGCATTTGGCATTTTGGTCCTTGTGAACTGGGGAGTGAGAAGTTTCGACAATGGGGGGGTAGGGGAAGCATGTAGCTGGGCGTGAGCAGAATCTTTTTGGCTGGCTTGGTAGTCCGCAGGACGATCTTAATTACCTATAGATTTCAATGTTATCCAACCTGCAACTAGGGACGAGGCGGGTGAGCTCTCTCTCTCTCTCTCTCTCTCTCTCTCAATCTCTCAAAAATTGTGATTATCATGTTCGGCGAAGTATGGTTACACTGAATAAATAAATATAATACTCAGCGTAAATGGCATGACCCTATCTGGCCGTTTTGGGGTGACTGCAATGTGACATCCTGCTGATCCTCCCCCCTCTTGTATCCCTTGATGTGCACGGCTTCTCTCCGCCTACCACTCTTCTGCAGGCATGTGACTGCAATGTGACATCCCTGTCTCTTATACACATCTAGATGTGTATAAGAGACAGCTTGTATCCCTTGATGTGCACGGCTTCTCTCGGCCTACCACTCTTCTGCAGGCATTCCCATTTCGTCTCCGCTCCTGCTGTGAGTTGAACTTCTCTCTACCCTTCAAGTTGGTGATGCTTAATAACTTAATAGGTTATGTCACAACTTATGTGTTCCATGATTATTCCTCAGTTTTCAAGTTGGTGTTCATGTTCATTTTGGCCGGATATTCTCTCTCCTCCTCCTCGGGGTCTGCACGTGACTTCTCCATTCTCCTCCTCCTCCTCCTTCGGCGCCTCCATTTTGATTTGCGAACTCCGCTCTGTGAAGGATTCCCAGCCTCATTCTATTTCCAATTGCCAACAAAAAGACTGAAAAAAAAAAGAGCCAATCACAGCCAATTTATGTTGGTGACTTGAGTACGCACAGAAGTCTTGAACACTGTGAAGGTATACTCGGTAGATAGCCCCCACGCCAAAACCTTTTCGGTTTTCGCCGCCCATAGTTCGGCCATTTGGTACTACCGGCCCAATGTCTTCCATGTGGGGTACTACAGGCTGAAGACATTCGCGCCGGTGGTACCAAACGGCCGAACTTTGGGCGGCCTAAACCGAAAAGGTTTTGGCATGGGTGCTTTCTACCAATTATCCCCACTTTGAAAGACAAGAGGCTCATTCATCAGCTCCCCCTCTGATTCTTGTGGATCCCCCATACACATCCAACCCAGTGGCCCATCCAAAATTTTGCGTAGACAACCCATGAAGGCCAGCACCGACCTTCACTACAGTCTTCCCCCGAATACAACGCACGGTCATTATAGTTCAATTTGGTCCATCTTTCCGTCTAAATTCAGTTATAATGACCGTACGTTGTGTTCAGGGGAAGACTGTAGTTTGTTACCACGTTCCAATTTCAAATTGACACCATAGCATTCGGAAAAAATCGAATGATTCCCTCAGGGTGAAAGGGGGTTTTCGTGGCAGGGCCAGGCAGGCCAATCGGACGGACGGACGGAGGGGGCCCAGGGGGTACAGCCGTACGGGCGGTGCCGTCCGGGCCCCTTCATGTGGCATTTGGAGCCCCTAAAATGTGCAAAAAAAGAAAAAGAAACAAAAAAAGGGGCTCGAGAGTCGAGAGCACAAAAAGCACTGCAACCCCGTTCCCCTTCCTTTGCCTGTGCATACATTTTTTAAATGGGAAACATTATAGTAAAAAAAAAAAAAATAGTAAAAAAAAAGGAAGGGTTGGAAACTTGGCATTTCTTTTGGATGTGGGGTGTCTTGCTTCACATCCCCACCTTTTTTTTTGGGGGGGGGAGGGGTGGGTCAAGTGATTCTATAACAAAACAGAAGAAAACAAAAACGAAAATACAGATAAAAAACCCTCTTCTATGAGTTTATCCGATGTTCTGTCTGATGCAGTGCCATACCCACGTTCACCGTTCATGGAGTCGGTGAACGAGGACCGGTCACCGTATACGGAAATTGTGACCGGTGGTACCAGTGACCGGTGGTCCGGTGGTAGTTCATGGAGTTTACGGAGAGAGGGATCGGTTCTCTTTTTTTTTTGGCTTGGGGKGGGGGTGGGGGGGGGGTGTCATCCGAGGGTAACCCCCCATGTTGTTTTTGTTTTTTTCACGAATAATGTTTATTTTTAATTAAAAATGAAAAAATATACAAACAGCCGAAATAAGCAATTCCGTTTGTTGTTTTGTAGGTTATTTCCATTTTATTTTATTTTTTATTTTTTTTTATGTTACCACGCTGTGGGGCTGGAGGCCACTGTAGCTGGGTGAGCCCAGGAAAAATAAATAAATAATAATAATAAATCATTTGCAAAAGTAAATAAATAAACACCACTCTTTTGTGGTCTGCCTGTTCACAGGCGCAGGGCCATATGACCGGCCTGTCACGTTCACGGTGACGGCACTGGTCTGATGTGTACCTTCAAAAAACAAGTAGCCTAGTTCTGTTCTTGAATCCACACATCTGATGTACAAGGTCAGATCATGACTCAGATGTACTGTCATGTACATTCAAGAACAGAAATAGCCTTCACTCTCTCTCTCTCTCTCTCTCTCTCTCTCTCTCTCTCTCTCTCTCTCTCTCTCTCTCTCTCTCTCTCTCTCTTTTGCATGCGTGTAATCAGGAGAAAGAGAGAGACAGAGGGAGCACGCAAGCTCGTACACAGCCACACGATGATGCACACGTTTTTTTGCTTTCTCAATCAATCAATCAATCAATCAACAATCAATCAATCAACCAATCAACAATCAATCAATCAATCAATCAATCAATCAATCAATCAATCGGATCAACCCATCAATCAATCAATCAATCAACAATCAATCAAATCATCAAATCAATCAATCAATCAATCAATCAATCAATCTTTTTGCACACGTTTTTTGGCTTTCTCAATCAATCAATCCATCAACAATCAATCAAGTTCGATCAACAGTTAATCGCATCATCAAATCAATCAAATCAATCAATCAATCAATCAATCAATCAATCAATCAATCAATCAATCATTATATCAATCAATCAATCTTTCTTTCTTTTTTGTGGCAAGTACGTCAATGTCACTTTGGAGTGTCAAATGAGCAAAAAAAACACGCGCCGGCAAAGCAAACAGGCACCATACTCTAAATCTTAAAAAAAAAACAAGGAGCCAACAATAATGGGAGTTACAAAGAAACCTGATTTCACTGATCCTATTCTGTGTGCTAAGTTAGCTGAAGGCATGGGCCATAATTATTATGGTGAACCTGGTTGGCCTAATGCCGAGTTCGGGAAAGCAATGAAATTATGAAGGGGAAACTGCTCCTGGGTCACACTTTTAGTTCAAAACGGCAAAAAAAACACTAAATGGCAATGTCCTCGTCGTGGAAGTTCAAAACGGCAAAAAAAAACACTAAATGGCAATGTCCTCGCGGTCGAAGTTCAAATAGGCAAAAAAAACCTTGTAAGGGCGTCGCTGCACTACTCTCTACATGCACAACAGACAAAAATCATGGCCGTGTATCTTTCCATATTCTAGCAGAAGATTCGCTCTGGTTTTGCGCATTTCGAGAGTAGTGCAGCGAGGCCCTAACAGTGCTGCTTCCACGAATGCATCTGCCCAGAAGATTAGCTCGGTTCGTTCCTTGTTGTGTTGTTACTTTTTTTTGCTGCTGACACTTGATTTCGTGCCCTGCCAAAGAGCAGGGCGTTTTCCACGGAGAACAGACGTGCAGAAGACAAAAAAAAAAAACGGACAGCTGACACTTGCCAAAGAAAAAAAAAAAAACGA